CCAGGGATGGGGACTCCACCCCCTCCCTGGGCAGCCTGTTCCAATGCCCGACCACTCTCTCTGTGAAAAATTCCTTCCTAATGTTCCTCGCAAGCTACAGTTAAAGCTGTGAGTGCTAGACATGTGAGGTACAATATACTTTTTGAAAAAATATCGGCATTTGCAGATGATTGCCAACTGTCTGCTAGAGCCGTGTGGCCTCACATTAGCATTTTGCTGGTGTTACAGAGTTTTAGACATTGCTTCTGGACCCATGCACAGCAGTTTGACAGAAGTACAGAGCTGGTCTTCCAAATTCCGTTGCTTCCTTTCTCTTGAGTGGCATGACTGTTATGTCTTATTGGCCGTGTACCACTACCTTTCCATCTCACCCTCTGTCATTGTTATGTATTTATTTAGTTGATTTTATGGCTGGTTGAAGGATAGTCCAGTTGAAAACATCTCTCAATTGCGACATTATTTGTTTGACATTTTAATTTTAAAATTCAAATGAAAGGAATTCTGCATTGCATTTTGTTTATTAATGTTATGATATTAAGAAATTCAAATACCTTTTGGTAAACCATATTTTTATGTAACTTATACAACATAACCTACCAAGTCTTATTATTGTGTTCTTATCCTTTTTGGTGGGGAAGAAAGGACCATTGTCTTTACTGCAAGTAAGTATATAGATCACACTCTTCGACAGTAGGGAGCTCCAATAAAACGTTGGAATAAACAAAGTAGGCAGAAAATATTACCACGTTTCCCCTGGGAACTATTTAAACATGCTGCCATCTAAATTAACAGTAGACTTTGAATTTTTTAATATCCATTTGTATGTGGTGTTCATTTTAAAGCAGAAGCAGTATCTTTTATAAAAGCAACAGCTGCAATTTTAAAAGATGCTGTGGGATTTATCTAGTCTGACAACTAGACTTTAGCTTTTTCAAATTTCTTCTGTAGAATTTCACAGCAGTTGGAAAGTTACTTCTAGTCTTATGTACATTTACTTTGAAGAAACTCAAATACTTCATTAAAAAGTTGTTACTAAATCGCACACATGGAAGTTACTTAGAATTTCTTCTTGTTGTCACATTTGTTGTTGAATTTTTTTGTTGAATATGGTTGATTTTTTGCTGACAATCCCTGTCATTTATTTACAGGTTTTCTTAAAGTTGATGTGTCTTTTTTTTTATTTCAACAGCTTGATCAAGTTGTCCGTCAGAGAAATCTATGTAGTTTGGAACTTTTCCTCTCATGTGCACAGAAACAGTTAAATGTTCTATTAAAGGAAGAGCCAACATCTATGGAGGAAAAGAGAGAGACTGACATTCTCAATACTGCTGATACGGTGTGATTTGTAAAGCTGCAAATCTCAATCTGACAAATGATGAATATATTCTAATATTGGGATTGTACCATTGGTTCAAGATTGATCAGATACTATGCTTAGAAGAAGTATTTGTGGATTATGTTCTTCTATTTATTTATTTATTTTACTACTAGTGTCAGATCACAAATATGGGAAGGAAAAATAAAACCTGAAAAAAATTGTTTTATTTATGATTTTTCTTTCATTATATTTAGTAGCCTGTGATTGAAGTTCTTGGTAACTGCAGCTGTGATGAAAATGTTTCCCTATTATGTCTGTTTTAGATGAGGCATCATATGTTGATGTAATTTATCAATATTTTTGGTCTTTCAAAAATGGAGAAAAGCATTTAATTGACTATAGATGCAAATCCATCTCTATTTCTGAAGTGTATGCCCAAGTTCATTGCCTCAACTGAGCCTTCTTATTTCTTACTACTTTTGATGTACAGCAGAAGAATCAGAACAGATACATGAGAGTTGACGTGCATTTTTATAAACAACTCCAGCTCTAGTAATAGAAAAGTTTAAAAACTAAACAGTGCATCTTTTTAGAGTAGTGCAAAACATTGCCATAACCAATGTATAGTATGTATTTTATTTCTGTTTTAAAACCTAGCTTGATTCCAAAAGTCATTTTCTCATGAAAATGCGATTAATGTGACTGACCTCAGTTCCAGGAAGAAGATGTATGTAATTATGTGGAGACTGATACTGCACTGCCTCAGTGGAATTTCTGACGGAATAAGGAGTGCAGCTTGCTGACCTCAGATGCCCTTTCTAAACCCATTGAAGGAAGCAGAAAATCTCCCCACTGATATTACTGAACTTTGGATCAAGTCGTAGGTCTTTCTAGTCTTGCTAACGGCAGCATCGAGTGGAATTTCTCTGCCTACACTCTCTTGATTGTAGATTTGGGGCCTTAGTTATAAAAGAGTTCTGAATGAAATAAGGAAAATTAAATGTTCATGCTTAGAAATGTAAATAAATGAAGAATGGTATCTCTTCTGGTGACCTTGTGATTCAGTGGGGGACTTATGGGCATTTTTTGTGTGGTTCTTGTTATTCAGTGGTGCTTGTGTGGGGTTTTTTTGTTTGGCTGTGTTTTTTACGTCGGCACTCACTTTTCATAAATTGCTTTTTTATAGCCATAAGGAAACAGAAAATGGTTGGATATGTATTTGGCAGAATGAAATATGGATTGCAGAGAGTTAAGCATTTTATTTAAATCTTTTTCTGTGCTTCATTTTTGGAATCAAAACCAAGGGTTTTGTCTTCTGCATGCAAAATTTCACTGAAGAAGTTAATAATGCTGTTTTTTCTAGGTGATGACCTCACCCTACAAAGGGATGAAAATCCGGTCTTCTTTTTGATATTTCTTGATTGACTGATGAGTTTCCATTTCTTACGGCAGACAAAAAAAATAGTGTTAATGAGTCACCTACTTATCGTTCCTAAGCCAGTGAAATCCTTGTATATGTCAATTGCACCAAAGATGACATGGATGTTGTCATGGTTTAACCCCAGCTGGCAGCTAGAGCCACGGGGCCGCTCGCTCATCCCCCCTTTCTCCTCTAGGAAGGGGAGGGAGAAGAGGGAGAAAAGTAGAGGAAAGTTAAAAAAAAACCTCGTGGATTGAGATAAAGATAGTTTTATAGAACGATATCAGAAAAGGAAAATAACAATACTAATAATGACACAAGTTACTCTTAGTGCCGGGTGATTTGGCACCATCGCAAACAGTGATCACAAGTATCCATCCCCCAGCTAAACCCATTTATGTCCTGAGTATGACATCTATGGTATGCAATATCCCACTGGCCGTTCCACCATTCTGCCTGTGCTTCTTCTCAGCTTCTATGGGAAGCTGGAAAAAGTCCTTGAAAACTATAAATGTCGCCTGGCAACAACTAAAACAATATGTTGACATTCCTTTGGTACCAAATCTGAAACACAACGACCGCTAGAAAGAAAATGAACTGTGTCCCTGAAACCAGGACAGGTATCCAGGTAGGTTTTTTGGAAAGTAGAGACAGTGCAAAATGAAGTTCTCTAGTGCTGTCTCACAATCAATGTTTAATTGTGGAAATGTGGTATGAGCAGATTCCTAGATGAACTTCAACATTATTGTTTCTTACTTCTAGGTCTTTAGATGAAATAGTATTCCTTTTTACTAAAGACCTCAAACTGTTCCCCATCAAAGCCAGAGCCTTAGCGGTGTATGAGTATCCTCCTACTAAAGAGTTTTGTTTTCTGACTTGCAACAATATGTAAAAGCATTTGTTGGAGAAGTTTATGATTGCATTGCCAACTGTGGTGTATCATAGACTACTGTCCATCAAATCCATATCTCCCCAGTTCGGAAAGAAGGATGTTGTGGGGACCATGTCAAACCCCTTAGAAGTCCAGACAGACAACATCTGTAGCTCTTCCCACATTCACTGATGTAGTCACTCCATCACAGAAGGCCCCGAGGTTGGTCAGGCAGGACTTGTCCTTGGTGAAGCCATGCTGGCTCTCTCTTTTGTATGGTGTCTTTAGCTAAGATACAGATATATTTGAATTTTTGCCTTGCTCTAAGAATCTCATTGGCAAATGCCACTTGAATTCCTTCAAGCATATAACTCCTTGACTCCGTCATAAGAAGGCAGAACAAAGGAAAAGCAGTAGTCATTCCAGACACTGAGATCACATTAGTGTTTTGAGATCTTTTGTGCACTGTCCACATATTTGAGTTTACAGATTTTTCCCTACCCCTTGGATGGAGGGAATATGTGATAAGATTTCACCTTGTTTCCTAGCACCTTGTTCATCAAAGGGACAGATGGAATTTATGCTCGCTTTCAGATCATGTATAGCATCAGATTATCAAATAGATATCAGTTATCAAATAGACTTAGTGCAAATGTAAAATGAGCTAGATTGGGGCATACCCAATCTGTATTGCAGCTAATTAGCTTTCTTGATGCCGGATGGTTAGTTGTTAAAACAGAGCACAGCACTTACTAACTAGCCACTTACATCTTCCTGCTCTGGCTGCATTGCAGCCTCACTGAGCTACCTGCAATACATAGTTTAACTAATTTTGGTGCTGTAAACTTGGCTGCAGGGGAGTGACTAACCTGTGAGTGAGATTGCTTTCAAAATTTTTACATGGCCATTCCAAATACTGTCTAGAAATTACATATCTGACATTCCTTTTTTGGCAATGGGTTATAAATGTGCCTAACGAACATTGGCCTGGAAAACATTTTTTACATGGGTATAATTTGGGCCTTCAGTTCAATTCAATGTGTTTGCAGGAACTGCCGCCACAAATGTTTTCTTTTGTGTGATCTGTCCAAGAATATTGTTCTTTTAAGGCTTCAAGAATGGATGACTTATCCGCTAGTACAGCTTAAGGACAGATTTCTTTATTAATTTTTAAGCCTATGTAAAATTAATAATACTGTTGCTGAATTAGGGTCACATTTGAACAGTTGAACGTGATGGGGAAACCATCTGAGTTGCACTCTGTTTGGCTCAAATTTCATATTTGCCTTTGAAAGCGTATGCTTCCTTAGCTAAAGGAAAGCCCTGAGGTGTGTGGACTTCTCCTTGTAGACATTACCTAAGCAAGTTCACTTGCCATGGTGATGCTGTGGCTAAAATCGTCCTCATCAGTCTTGCCTCATGCCATTTGCCACAGATACACATTTGCCACGTGCCATGTGGTAGGTTGTGGTGTTTGCATTTCTGTGGGAAGCATTGCATTCTAAAGACCTAGAGTAATGTCCTGAAAGTGGGGAAAATCAACTGTAGGTGCTGGTGACTCCAGAGTGTTTAGCAAGACAAAATAGAGATGATTAATTTTTTTTTGATTGATCTTTTTTATTGTTGTGTGTATTTTTAAACTTGTTGTATTGCCTTTGAGTGATATGACATTCTTGATAATAAACATATTGTTATCCTGTGATAATAACAATAATTTCCTGTGACAGATGTGGTCAGTATTGTATCCACATCTTACATGCGGTGTAATTATAGCAATTTTAATATGCGTAAGAGATTCACATTTGTTTGTATTTCCTGTAATTCCTCACATTTCAGACTTACAAAATCAGCATTTTTTAGATGCTTTCCATTGTCCATCATGGATAATGTGATACACAAAGAAAGTGTTATTGAATAAACACTCAAGACTATTTTAGGATTTTTTGAACTTTGAAGGATGTTTGGGTTTTTGTACTACTACCAAATTAGGGCATCAGTTAAGACTTCACATTGCTTTCACTACACAGTTTTTCAGAAAAATAGCTGGTCATGTTGATACATGGCCAGCCTCTGTTTTTGTGGCAATAATTTTGAGTATTTTATTACTTAAACACCCCACTCTTTTATTGTGACCATAGATTACATATTTAGAGAGTGATTGTGAACTTCTGGCTCCCAGGAAGTCCTCAGGAATTCTGCTGTTGGTTATTTTCAGCTTAAAATTTCATCCTTCCTCATATTTTTTGCAATTGTGACTATAATGAGTATAATGCAAAGAGCTTTGTCTTTGTATAGTTCTGGCTATGTACCGAGAAGTTATTTCAAGAGCAGGTTTCATGATCAGTTCTTTGAAGAAAATGTCAGCATTTGTTCTGTTCATGGTATAGTGGGGAAGGGGGTCAAGATGTTGGCTGAGACCTTGCTGAGGGGGTACGTATGTCTTATTATTGCTATCCTACTGCTAGAAAGAATGTATTTTCATATTCTCATTGAAATAAGTTTCTTCTCCTTTGGTATATCAGAACTAATAGTGACTGTAGTATTCCCTACTGAAATGCCTAGAAAAAACTCATTTGGTTACATCAACAAAATCACTATCAAAAATCAGTCCATTTTCAGATCAGGCTTGACAGCAGTGGAAACATGATGGTAAATGTAAGCTGCTACTCTTTGTTATGATCCCTTTGACTACTGGTTTTACTTCACAAAGAAAATAGGGTCTTTATGAAATACTTCATCTCCTGCAAATTCAACTGCCTAATGAAGTTTACAGCTGAATAGTAGTTTGATAAAAAGCTGGATGAGTTTTGTCAGGGTGAAAGAGTCATATAAATGAGAGCATTTTGCTTTTGTTACGGATTATTGTTAGAAAGAGTCAAAATCTCTCCTGGAATGTCAGCAGCCAAGGGTTTCAGTGGCTGCCTGAATGCAACAGAACTGCATTTGGTCTATTTGAAACAGTAATGTTGATGCTGGAAAATACGATTATTTCAGAAAACTGTCCATATGCAATTTTCCAACTTTTGTCTTATTAAGAGTTTTTTGCAGGTTTTTCATGTGTTCCTTGCCCTAGGGCAAAAGAAACAGTGTTACCCATAAATGTTTATGAACACGATGGTGCAGCAAAAGGAGGAGTTGTAAGCTAGGTGGAATTTATTTTCTCCATACTCTTTTGGTAGTTTGGGCAAGGATATTTGAGAGAATAGAAGTTCTCTAGATGCAGAAAACCAAAAATTGTGGCTTGTGAATTGAGAGGGATTTGGTGAGGAAGAAGAGACAAAGAGGTATTATTTTATAATGTAAACTATGTGGTATATTAAGAGAAAGAAAAGATGTGATTTCATAGAATGAAGGGGAACGACAGGTTTGAATGAGAAGTGCAGACAGGAGGTTCATCCTCTAGAATGCACTCATCTGAACCAACAGACTTCTCAGATGTAAATGGCAAAATGAGTAAAGAAAAAAGAAAGGTGAAGATTCATGTTTCCCATGCAGTTTGAAGAATAATTGGTTTCACAACTCAGAACTTCTGAAACTTAACAGTGGTTTCTGTAAGGATGTAGACAATTTACCCAGAACATCTCATCTTCCGGAAGATAGTACTATATGACAATCTGTACTTCAAAACAACATCCAAATTATCAAAATAAATAAAATTAAAATTTGTGCTTTGTAAAGCTTAAAAGCATTACAAGGCTGACATGTTGAGACCCAAACATGTTAGTCTGACAAATGTCAATAGAGATTCCTGGGCGTCTTTAACAAAATGTTTTCAGAGCTGCGCTGGGGGTACTACTGCATCAGGATGATGAATGTATTCTTGCTTGATTGTTACACTAATATTAAAAACAAGTTATATACAGAGTGGAAAAGTCTTTTAATGTCTGCCAAATAAAATGGAAAGGGATCCAGATGTTGTGTTCAAAGATAATGTAGCATCTGTGCATTTTCTTGGGAATAAGAAATGTATTTAGGTGTCAGGCAAAATAATTTTTCATTTACAGAGATAGGAATAAAATTTTGTGTAAGCTCAAGACAGCAGCGACAAAGATCTACAAAAGACTGATAGTTACATGGTTCATGAATGACAGGATTATTCAAAGGAATACAAATAACTACAAGCACAGTCAGCATCAAATTGCACTCGATTATGTATGTATCGTAGTCATAATGTGTATGCACAGTTTTCAAGACAATTTTACTTCAATAAATTCTTCAAAGAACAAGTGAGTTGAAGGAGGGGATGACAAGATCATCCTCCATTGTTTTTGAGAAGGATCCAAATGGATGGTTGATTGGTTTATTGCATGTTGGGGCCAAATGCTACTACCTTTTCTGATGCATAAGCATACAGAAGTGCATGCTGGTTTTCCCAAAGCAATCATATAGCACAATTGTCTCTACCAATTAGATGTTTTAATCATATTTTTCCTGTTGGTTAAGCTTCAATAAATCAAGCCGGTAAGTGAATTAGTCTTTTATGTGCCTTTTATACAGTTGGTGTCATGAATAATTTAATTATGGCCTCCTTCAGGACAAAGCTCAGAAATGTCAATTAACAACTTTTAAAAAGGTTTTCTACTTTATAGTGAGAGTCGATTCACACTTTCTAGACTTTCCGTTGTTGAGCTCAGTGAAATGGATACTGTTTTCCTTTAAAGAAGACAAAAACTGGGGTGCCAAATTTGCTTGGTTTTATTAACTAAGAAAGCCTGTTGGTCAGTAATGTTTTTAATAGTGCTCTGAAAAATGCATGTTATTATGAGAGTCCAGAAATCAACCAGAACAGATGTATTCTTTGCTGACTTGCAAGTCAAAGTTTGTTAGTGGATTTTACTCCTGCTGTTAATCAACAAGGCCAGGATTTTGCTCATTGTTTCTAGCTAATGCCTTGCCTTCTTGACAATGGAGCTTTGAGGGAAAATTAGCTATACCACCCTCAAAAAAGGCTCTCTGAGGAAAGAGAAAATCACTGAAAAGCATTCCAGCCTGGAGTCCAGCTGGGAACATGGTGCTTCCATCTCCAAAGATGTCATCCTGCCAGTTTCTCTCACCAAATATATCAGCCTACTCAAAATTTGCAGGGAGAACTCCCCCACTTGCATAGATTATAATGTGTTCTGAGTCTTGGAGGGAAATGTTTTATCACACTTTCACAGAGACAATACATCTTGTACTCAGCAGTGGTTCCTGACATGCTGTGCTACTGTATCAGCCTTTTAATGTTGAATTTTACATAGCTGCCTGTTCTGCACTGTATTAAAGACACTTCAGATGCTATACTGAAATAAAACTGACAGTATGACAGGATCTTGAATTTTATTTTCTTTTTTGTTTGTGAAAACTGCTGATATTTCTTTGCATAGATTGCTAGCATGTTTGTGATGCTGATATTTCTTTGCATAGATTGCTAGCATAGGAAAACTTTCAGCATTCTTTTAATGAAAGATATTGTATGTGTCATACTGTGTGTCTTCAAGCAAGAGTCCAGTGCCTTTAGCACCTAAAAACGGCTGATGAGACAGAATTACTCAGAAGACTGGTTTTCATTGTCATCCTCGCCCTCAATTTGGGGACTTATTTCATTTTAAACAGTCCCTCAATTTGGGGACTTATTTCATTTTAAAGGCAAATTTGATGACCTCTGAAGCAGGTGAGAAAACTGCTTCAAGGTTCACACAGAGGAGATAGCAAAGTAGTTTCGTTCCTGTCCTCATGGGAGGTTGGAGGATCAGTTTTATACTGACCCATGAGAGTAAGCAAATCAAGGGTCTTTGCTCACCTTTGCATAGGCAGATGTAATGCAATCTCTATATAACCCAGTTCTCCTCCCTTCATTCTTTCCCATGCTGTATTGTCCAAGACTCCTACAAACAGGGAATAGGATGCTAATGAGGTACTCGTGTTTAGCTGCAAATGAGCAGCTGATATTTTTGAAAGTCATAGAGTGTTTTTTAGTCATTTTAATAACAAATAATTATACTCCTTTGGTGTGCCTTACAGTTTTGAACACCTTAATATTCAAGTTTTCCCCTGGAAATGCAAGTGCTAGAAAGCCTTGTTACCCCTTTAGGAGATTTAAGGTTCATAGGATACCAGGAGGTAAGGTGTTAAGGAAAGCACCAAATATTGTAAAATCTATGAGAAAATCACCTGGGGAGCAGCCATGTGTGGGATGGGTCAATGGTTCACCTGAAGAAGCATGTCACATGCTTCTGCCTTAGTTCTCCCATCATAACCTCACTTGTCCCTCAGGGTGAAGGTTTGGGGTTAGTTCTCAGGCTGGCTTTATACTAACACGGTCTTCATTTGTGGTCTTACAGTCTTCTGTTACTAATGAGAAAACGTAAGCATCGTGCCACTCTGTTGGGTTGTCGTACATTACACAACCTCAAAATTCTTGACAAACATTTTTAATTTAGATTATTCAGGAGAAAAGGGATCGCTGTCCTTCCTTGAACAAATGTTCTCGCTGTAGGATAACAGAGGGACTTAACTTAGTGTAAAAAACTGTAAATCCCAATGCAATCTGAGTTGGTAGACTACTTCTGATGCAGTTACTGGAGTAGTAGCCTCTCTGTTTAAATAGAGTATGGATACCTCACTAGTTCTTGTTGACGTGCTGCCACAAATGTGAATAAAATCATGCAGACCCTGAATTAATCACTCCCACATTGTTTTGCTTATTACATACCAAACTGACAGGCTGCTAGGCAGCTTGGATACAGATAAGGCAAAAATGTGGAAACCAGCAACCACTCTGTGTGTCAAAATTCTGTCAATGATCCTGTTTATAGGAAAGTTTCTTCACATTAAAAAGTCCAAGTCTTACCTCATTCTGATACACAATAAAACATGGTAAAATGTGCAGAGCTGATATGATCAAAACATATATTTGCAGCAATTGTATTTTAAGTATGATTGCCAACAAGTAAAGGAGAGCTTGGTACTACTGAGGAAGACAGTAATTATTTTCCCTATTGATTACCCTGTGGATGTATCTAAACTAAGGTTAAAAATAAAGAACATAAATAACGGTAGCTAATCACAGGTTCTCAGCAGAGACAGAAATTTTTAAACATATTGGGTCCTCATACAAGTTCATTAAAGCAAAGACAATGTGATGGACTTTCACCCATCAGAGCACACTGAATAGAGTGTCTTTTCCTCAATTGACTGGAAAACTAGTAGAAAATGACTGGTTCTCATTGTACAAATCAAGACCAAAAGGCAGCTTGTGTTTGTGCATAGAAAAAGGGGAAAATCTGTGGAAGAGTAATGATCCATCAGCATTGTATGAAGTTTTCATTTAGTACTGTAAATAAATAATGATTTAATACTTGAATAAGACTGAGTTAATAATATTAACCATGGAGAGTCTTTTTTCCAACCCTGTGATGTTTGACATGTAAGGCATTGCAAATGAATAAATGGCCGTGCTGCAGGGTCATTTTTATTGTCATGTCAAAAAGCTCTGCTGCTATGCATTTCCCAAGGGAAGCAGCATTGCAGTGAGCAGAAAGAAGATGAAGCAAATGGCCCATCATCGTTAGTGATCTTACAGGGACATTATAAAAAACCTAGATAAACTTGCTCAGAACAATCAGGCTATCCGTGTCTCCTGGGAAAAGCCTGTTTTCACTACTTCCAGATCAGGTCAGACCAATACGATAATTCTGCGCTGTGTGAATTTTGCACATGTATGAGGTCCACTCATTTCAGAGGGACTTCAGTGCCTGAGGGTTACCTGGTAAGCAAGGCAAAAAGCAATGATTGCAAAGAGCGCTCTTGAGTTATCAACTTACAGGATGCACTCTCAGGGCTAGTGGAAACTGCATTTATTTCCCACAAGAAAGTAATATCAAGCAGTAAAGAGAAATGAAGAACATCCAAGAAAAAATCTGCCAAGACCAAAAGACAATCCAAGACTAAACAAATGGCATAGGCCAAAACTGTTTGCTATAAATGTGAAATAAAAATAACAGGTCTAGGCAATTGTAACCTAGATAAGAAACACACTGCTGGACTTCCAAAAAACCCCCAAAGAGGCCTCAATATTTTTCAATTCCGCACTTCCCATTTCTTCATATTCTCCTCAATTATTTTGGCAACATGCAGAGAAATGGATCAGTGAATCCACCTGCAGAAGATACAGCTGGTGATCCCAAAAAAAGGTGAACTTCCAGATACTGGAACTTAAGTCTTTGTATTAATAGTGTAATAGTAAATGCATACTGTATTGTGTGTTGGTGCTAAGGTTTTGGTGAAGGGGGGGCTGCAGGGGCAGCCTCTGTATGGAGGGGGCTGTGCAGGGGCTGCCCTGAGCCAGACATGGCCGTCTCCACCAACCCACTGTAGGACACGGCCCAGCCCCTCAGAAAAGGTGGTCACGGCACTTTGGAGAAAACACATTTGAGGAAGGACAAAACACTGCACAGGCAGGGAGGAGTGAGGAGAAGAATTATGAGAAACAACCCTGCAGGTACCAAGGTCAAAAAAAGGAAGGACTGAGGAGCTCCAGGCACTGGAACAGAGATCCACCTCCAGCCTGTGAAGGGACTACGGTGGAGCAGGTATTTCCCTGCAGCCCATGGAGAGGGCCAAGCAGAAGCAGATATCCACACTGTGGCACATGGAGACCCCATGCTGGATCAGATGGATATTTCCTGAAGGAACTCTGTTTGGCCTGTAGAGAGCCCACACTGGAGCAGGAGTGCAGCCCACGGGGAGGATCCACACTCGAACAGGGAAAAAGCATGAGGAAGAAGGAGCGGCAGAGAGGAGCTGTTATGGACTGACCCCATAAACCCTTTTTCCCCATCCTCCTACACTGCTTGGTAGGGAAAGGGTAGAAGAGTTTGGAAGGAAGGAGTGAAGTTGAGCATAGGAAAATGAGTGGGAAGGGAAGAGGGTATTTTAATGTTTGTCTTTGTTTCTCAGCTTCCAATTTGATTTTGATTAGCAATAAATTAAATCTGTTTTCCTGGAGTCAACTGTGTTTCATCTGTTGACAGTAGAATGATGTCCCTGTACGTATCTTGACCCATAAGCTTTTTCATCTAATTTTTCTTCTCCTGTCCTGTTAAGGAAGGGGAGTGAGAGAGCGGCTGGGCAGGAATCTGGTGGCCAGCCAAGATCAACCCACCAGATATTCACTGACAATGCCAGTCTTCCATCAGCCTCTCCTTATCTCACAACGTTGTCTCATTGTCAACAAGAGCTAGAAGCAGAAGAACAGGGGAAAGAAGGAGACAGAACATAGTGTAGAGGAAGAGGCTGGTGTGCATTGCCAGTGGTGAGGAGAGACTGCTCTCAGGACTCCTTCCTATGCATACTTTTGCTTATGAGAGTCCCAGCAGCGCGAGAGAATGGAAAACACAAAGGTGGGTGAACTCAACTGGCATTGAGATACTCCATTCTGAACTGAATGAGAGAAGGTAAAATAAGGGAATAGCAAAGCAGCTGATAAG